ATTTGTTGATCTATTTATCCGCACTTCCATCATCTATCTATTCATTCATGCATCTATCCATCCATCCATCCATCCATCAATTTATCAATCAGTACTTCCATTAGTTCATCAATCCATCTATATATTCATTCATTTGTCCAACAATTCATTAATTCATTCATTCAATCATTGATCCATCCATCCACTCATCCTCCATCCATCCATCCATCCATTAATTCATCAGTTAATACATCCATTAGTTCATCAATCCATGTGTTCATTAATTCATTCATTCATTCATTCATTCATTCAATCATTCATTCATTCATTTATTTATCAAACAATCTATCTTACCAACCAACCATTTACTTATTCGTCCATTTGTTGATCCATTCAGTCATTCATGCATCCATCCATCCATCTATCCATTTATTCATTATCCATATATCATCCATTAGTTCATCAAACCACCAATTTATTAATTCATTCATTCACTCATCAAACAATTCATCCAACCTACCATTTATTCATTCATTCATGCATTGGCTGATCCATTTGTCTGCACATCCATCATCCATCTATTTACTTATGCATCCATTCATTAATCAGTTCATCAATAAATACATCCATTAGTTAATCAATCTATCTATTCATTCATTCATTCAATCATTCATTAAACAATCCATCCAACCAACCATTTATTTATTCTTTCTTTCGTACATTTGTTGATCTATCCATCCACTCATCCATCTATTCATTCATGCATCCATTCATCCATCCATTCATTATCGAGTCCAAATAGAATAAAAAAAAGTTTAATTTATTACAGAATGTTTAATACATATTTAAAATCCTGCAGCACTTTTTGCTTGCTAATAACATGTATTTTCTGTCATCACATTTGGAGCAACAAGTCCAAAAAATAGCTATTATGTATCTATAATTCATTGATGGAAAAAAAGCACTAGTGCTCTCAGACTAGCCATGAAATCTTCCTCAGTCTCACAATGTTTGCACCTCACAGTCTGATGTCTTTGATCCAGACGAGCTGGTAAATGTTTGATGGTCAAGGGAAGGCCAGCACCAAGGACACAGTGATAGATGGACTTGATCGCTGACAATATGCTTGAGCTGAATGCTAGGAGAGTGGTTATATTCACCAGACCTTGAATTGAATATTAATAGGGTAAAGCCCAGCTGTCATGATGCAGATGCACAAGTCAATTGTTCCACTGATGAGCCTCTCGAGTCTCCATGGGGACAAAAAGGTTCGGTCAGAGGGGTTCACGCGCACTCAAAAACACAGACACTGGGACCAGTTTTCTTTCTCAGGGTACCCGAGTATGAAGTCATCAACACACACTGAAAAGATCCAGAAGCACAAAATAAACATTAATATGGCTCACAACTCGACAAGTTAGTCCAGCTGCTGTATCTGTTACAACTGCAGTCCTTATAGTGTCTTGTGGATCAGCAAAACACATTTGTTAGCAACACTTTTTTTTAAAGTTTGTTCAAAATGAAGCAAACCACCATAAGCTTGCACTGTGTCCTCCCATATAAAACGGAAGATCCCATTCTCTCAGAATTAGTATCACATTATTTACACTTGGCCAAATGTTCATGCTTGAATTAAACAGATGTGTCTTCAGTCCAGTGTCAACTAATCTTAGCCAATGATGTGGACTTTGAAAAACGCAGATCTTTTATTCATTGTGTCTTTCATGCCGAAGGGGCGAAACCTAATCTCTGATAATTAGAATATAATGAGTTAAGCACTCGGTAGATTAGTGGGGGGGTTTGATGAGAGGAGATGGAAATACTGCTTTTGAGACAACAGGGATTATGGAGAATTATAGAATCTGTCACACTGCAACTTGTTTTAATGAGCAATCCAACTCTCCATTACAATAGCTACATGGTCTACAGCCTGTAATATACAAGTGGTTTTTTGTGAGTAAATGTGAATATTTTGGAATCAATGTTTTCCCAGCTGAAGACTTAACCAGTAAGTGGCTGCTTTGGCCCCAAAGTATCAGGGGTCCCAAAAGAGACTTTGCATATTCTGTGCTTATTTGCATTTTGGAACATTTCAAATGTTTCTGTTAACAAAGTGTTTCGCACTGTTGGACAATATGTCCAATCACATACATATGTTGATTCCTGAATTGCATTGACAGAATTTTTCTCAAAGTGTAATTTTCTTTGATGCTGATTTTTTTGCACTCACAAATCATCTCATTACATCAAATGAAACGTAGACACAATGTTGAAATAAATTCCTGTTTTGAGATTTTCCAATATAAAAAACTCATCATGACATCACATGTCCTAAAGTATACCTTGTGAAGGAAATTCGATTGCACTCCGAATAATGAGGACTTTTAAACACATCACCTCATATACAAACACATTGAAATCAATAAAATGGACCAAGCACAGATGATTACGCACCATTTAGCAAGTTGATTAAACATGTTTTTTTTTTTTTCAAAATAAACTGATTCATTTTTTAAAGAAACCTAAATTTGTGCAGAAGTAAAATATATTCTAATGTTCACATTTCAGTAACATTTTGTTAAAAAGTAACACTTTAATTCAGCAAAGGAGCATTCAACTGATTAGAAATATAGTAAATTCTGGCACGTTTTTATAGTGCTTAAGTGCTTATACTGAATAACAAATGTATCATAGTTTCTACAAAATACTAACAGTACAACTGTTTTCAACATTTAGAATCATAATGAGCACCAGATACAATTAAATTGATTTTTGAAGTACCATATGACATGTACAGTAACTGACATGTATAAATATATTTTATAAAAATGAACATTTCCTCAATATTTACTCACACACAGTGGTTCTAAACTTTTTGGAATTTGTTTTTCCTTTTGCTTGCAAATCAAATATTTTTAGAGAAATGTTGGAAACGTGTATCTTTTGACATAGTAGGAGCAAAAATACTATGAAAATGGATGGCTGCTGGTTTGTAACATACACCTGAGTAGTATTTTAGGATTTTTCAGCCTGATCTCACGAGAAAACGTAAGTATTTTACGTTTTGGCAGTTTAGTGGCTAATTCGTACGAATTCGTACGAGTTCAGTCGTAAGAAAATGTACGATTTTAAAAAGGAGACGTGGCACCTAACCCCACCCCTAAACCCAACCGTCATTGGGGGATACGCAAATCGTACTAAAATGTACGAATTAAATTGTACGAATTTGTACGAATTAGCCACTAAATGAAAAAGTTACGAATTGCCGTGAGATTGTGTTGGATTTTTAGAAAAAACAGTTAATATCTTGATTCTAGTTGATCATTTGGTATCATAAGTGGTTTATAGTAAAGACAAAGCCCTTAGATTATGCTTATTTTACCAAAATAAAACATGATCTTGTAGTAGTATACAGTATAGAATATAAAGTCATGGTGCAGTGGAAAAAGAATTAATATTGTGTATGACTCCAATGAGCTTAAATGACTGCATCCATACATCTTTGCAATGACTCAAATAACTTATTAATAAAGTCATCTGGAACGACAAAGAAAGCTTTCCTGCAGGACTTCCAGAGTTCATCAAGATTCTTTGGATTCATCTTCAATGCCTCCGACATGCTCAATAATGTTCATTTCTGGTGACTGGGCTGGCCAATCCTGGAGCACCTTGACCTGGAGCCCTCTGCTGTGGTTTATAATGTAATTGGCAGCACAAATGTCTTGATAACTCAGGCTGTTGATGTTGCCATCCACTCTGCAGATCTCTTGCACGCCCCCATACTGAATGTAACCCCAAACCATGATTTTCCTTCACCAAACTTGACTGTTTTCTGTCAGTTTAACAGATGATTCAACGGATTGTTTATCTGAAAAATCTACCTCCTGCCACATTTCCAAATGATCAACTCGAAGTCAAATAATAATTTGTTGCTCTTACAACTGGGATCGACGACAAGACTTTTGTCAGGTAGTGTAGTTCAAAATATTTTCATTTGTGATTAATATAAAAAAGAAACTCAACCTAGTTTGGAACAAGTGGAAGATTAATAAATTATTACTTAAATTATGGATGATTTTCAGTGAACTACTCATTTAAGTAAATGAACCTTGGTCAGGCACGTGCACACATTGGGCTGAACCTGTGCAGTGCACATGCCCTTTTTAGTCTTGGATAGAAAGTGCCCTTCCAAAATGACTTACAGTACTATGAGTTTCTTCTGTTTTTCACAAAAGAAGACATTTTGGAAAATGCTGGAAACCTGTAACTATTTACTTCCATTGTATTTGTTTTCCTACTATGGACATCAGTGGTTACAGGTTCTCAGATTTCTTTAAAGAATCTTCTTTAGTGTTCAACAGAAGAAGAAAAAAACTCATAGGTTTGGAAGCACTTGAGTAAATAGTTAGGGAGAACAATCTCTTTAATTGAGTAAGGAGTCATTTAGAAAAGTCACAGAAATGATTATCAGAGCTTCATTTTGATTCACATGATTTTATTTGAATTATTAACAATATATAAAAGCAAATCATAACAAAACAATTATGAACACTTAATTATAAAACAATCCCTTTCCCTTATGACAGAACACCAGATTCATTGATGAGGTAGAAAATAGTTGAGCAGATCTTTGATGACACTTTAGAGGAGAAAACTGTGACAGCACTGGACTTCCTAATGGAGTTTTAGCATTAATTCAGTTCAATTTATCTTCATTTCTACAGCGCTTTTACAATGTGGATCGTGTCAAAGCAGCTTAACATAGAAGTAAATTGAAACTGTGTCAGTCCAGTTTTCAGAGTTGAAGTTCAGTTCAGTTCAGTTCAGTTCAGTTCAGTGTGGTTTAATTGTCACTGCTGAAAGTCCAAACACTAAAGAGCAAATCCATCGATGCGCAGCTCCACAAGTCCCAAACCAAGCAAGCCATCGGCGACAGTGGCGAGGAACAAAACTTCACCAATTGACTAAAGTGAAGGAAAAAACCTCGAGAGAAACCAGACTCAGTTGGGCACGACCATTTCTCCTCTGGCCAAACATCTTGTGCAGAGCTGCAGTCCAGGCACCATGAATTACCATTATTGTCATTAATTACTCGCCTCATGTCCTTAGTTCAAATTTATGTTTATTTCATATTGAGAACACAAATGAAAACTTTAGATGAAATCTGAGAGCTCTCTGACCCTCAAATCGCACGCTCATAAGAGCACAGTGCACTGTATGTGTGTCGCACTGCTGACGTTTAACCCAGAGGCCTGCGCGACTTCCTCTCATTTAAACAAAGCGTGGGCACATCCGAGGTAAACATCAGCAGTGCGACACATACAGCGCAGGACAGAGCTCTCATGGTTTGATGAAGTTTTCTGGGATTTAAACATCTCTTCATTCTTGTGGTTTATGGAGGATCAGAGAGTTCTCGCAGTTCATCTCAAATATTTTCACTAGTTTTCTGAAGATGAAGAAAGGTGTCAGGGGTTTGGAGCTACAGCTGCCATTTTTAGGTGAAACTTCTTTCATGCAGAAAGAAAAACACAAAAACAATAAAACAGAAATAATGACTTCAGAAGTTCTGTACTTCACTGTATGTGTGTCGTACTGCTGATGTTTAACCCAGAGGCCTGCGCGACTTCCTCTCATTTAAACAAAGCGTGGGCACATCTGAGGTAGACGTCAGCAGTGCGACACACATACAGTGCAGGACAGAGCTCTCTTCAACACACGTCATGAACTGACACTGAAGAAAAGTGAGGTCTTAGTGGTTTGGAATGACATGAGGGAGTAATTAATAACTTTAACAGTCTTGTGAATGTCTGGAAATGGTGCTCTCCTCCTCCTCGCTTCTTTAGTTTTTTCTAAAAATGAAGAAAAACAATCAGAAATAAGACAAAGTTATTTAAGCAGTAGTATGAAAGGCTGTCAAATAAAACTCTGTGTGTTCCTCTACCTCCTCTTGTATAACTGCTTCACAGGATTTGGGGTCGTTGGATTGAACCAGCAGTGCTCTTCTACCTGGTGTAACTGTAGCCGTTTAGCTGGATTACGGATCAAACACTGGGAAATCAGGTCCACGCATGCTGAAAAGTGTCACAGAGAGTGTGAAATATGTCTGCATACTCAACATTCATGAACGTCTTTAAATCTTACAACATCAAATGTTACAAAACATCCACAATTAAGTGACTTTAATATCTACAGGTCCTGTAAGCATTATATTTAATCCATTTGACTTATGACTGACATGTTTGATTCTGTCACTGAGGCTGAGATTGTTCAGAGGTGTCTGCTTACCTGTGGATAACCTGGGGTGTATCTGAATTGCGCCAAACATTATTGACTGTCTGTTATTGAAGGCCAGTCGTCCATGCATTATTTCATACAGCATAATGCCTATTGTCCAGACGTATGCCGGGTTAGCATGGAATACACGACACCTCAAAGCCTCAGGTGGCATGCCATGTCCAGCTCCTGTAAGAGAGACATTTCCAGAATTTAGTCATTTCATGAGACAATACTGTGACCAAAGAAACTAACACAAAATTCCAACTCACCTCGATAGTCACTTTTATTGAAAGGCTTTTGGGTAATTGGCTGAGCACATCCAAAGTCGATCAATTTGAGCTCTAATCGGGGTAGAGTCACCAGGATGTTCGCTGTGTGTATATCCCCATGGAAAACTCCACGCTCAGAGCAGAACATTATAGCTCGGATCAACTGACGCATTAACTGGCGTGCTTGGTTTTCCTCAATGTCCGCTGTGTCTTTGATGTACTGAAGCAAGGTCTGGCATGACTCTGCGTACTCCAGAATGAGAACAAAGTTGTCCTCAATCTCAAGCCAGTTGTGTAATCTGATGATGTTTGGACATCGCGGAGCTTTCATCAACCTAAGCATCATTGCCACTTCTGCAAGCACAGGTGTGGAATGACCATCCTAGAAAGAAAACAGATTTCAAAGACATTAACAAAGCAGAATGGCACAAAGTACAGTAACACAAACTTCAGTATGTGAATAATCACTAAGCTTCATGTTCTGACACATTTTTGCTTATATTTGAGCATTCAGTCATGCAGTTTAAGCTAAAAGAGGACTCTACACGTGTGTGTTCTGTCCGTCTCTGAGGCTAAGCACATGCACACAACAGCACAAGAGCTCTTTAGCACTTCTGAATGACTCGTATACACTCGAATAAATCAAGCACATCCCATGCTGCAAAAGTCCCGCTACATGATTTCCTTGATTTCCAGCTTTGTGTAGAAATGAATGCAGACTGCTTTACAAGGGGCCGGGATATGAATCAATGATCATTTTAACCTCCATTAATGTTAAATTAATTTTAATTAATTCCACAGCCCGACATTTATGTGTTAAAAACTTGTCTCTGGGTTTATTTCTTCTGCTGAACACAAAAGAAGATATTTTGAAGAATGTTGAAAACCAGTAAGCATTGACTTCAAAAGTATTTTCTTTTTCTACAATAGAAGTCAGTGGCTACCTGTTTCCAACATATCTGCTTTTGAGTTCAGTTTAAAGTGGTCCAGACAGGTACGGGAGAAGTGAAGGATGAGTAAATGCTCAGCACATTTTCACTGTTGTGTGAATTAATCAACTTACAATGTCCAGATAGCGGTCCTGTTGACTCTTCACCATGCACTTCAGGGCAACCTGCGGAAAAACAAATTAAATTAAAGCCAACAAATTATTTATATTTGTTAATCAGGAGGAAAATGTTGACTGAATTTTAAAAAAGTAGTTCTCTACCTTTACTCTTTTACTGCGTTTGTGAGATGCCACATACACCTGGCCAAAAGCTCCTTCTCCAATCAGGTCTCCGACTTCAAACTGAGTCAGATCAAGTCCTGAAAAACAGAAAAAAGCAAGGAGATTTACTTGGATTGTCTGGTATGAAACGGATCAAATATATGACTCCTGTCCTTTAAATCTGGACCTAATGCAATGACCTAAAAGCAGTAACTTCTATCAGAAATGCAGGAGTAAATTGATTAATAATCTATATTAATTATGAATTACAGAATGATGACTTACCACGAGTGAGCCCAGAAGCCTCCTCAGGACCCTGGCCTGGCAGACATACTGACTCAATGTCTGGCTCTGACTCTGGCTCAGGCTGTGGTGTAAAATGCAGGAAAGGAAGCTTTGCAGCCTTCCATGCTCTCTTAAAGAAAGCAGAGACTCTTTTCCCTTTCCTTCCTTTCTTGGGGTTTTCTAAATTGAAGAAAACAAACAGAAACATCTTCATGAACAAAGCTGCAGCTACAGTGCTCAGAACATTCATATATGCCAGGGGTGGCCAACCCTGTTCCTGGAGAGCCACCTTCCTGCAGATTTCAGTTGCTACCCATATTAAACACACCTGAAAAAAATAATTAGGACCTGAACACCTCGTGATAATTACAGGCAGGTGTGTTTGGTGGCTCTCCAGGAACAGGGTTGGTCACCCCTGATATATGCTGTACATTTATCCATTTCTCAGTGAATATGGGTAATATATAGTAATATATATTGATGCATTTGAACAAAACTGATTTAATAAACAGATTTATTTATTAAAATAATATTTTAGTCACAGAACATTTTTAGAAATGGAAAGATATTAGAATATAGAATATTGTAAAGCATCCTATAGAACATATGAATTTAAATGAGAGATTTGTGGGGGTGTACTCATATATGTTTAGCACTGTAATAATTAATACACAACCAACAGTACAACAAATGACACTGTCTGATTTAGAAACTAAAAACAACAAAGAGTAAAAATAACAGATGGCAAAATAAAATGAACCAAATTCAGGATGACTCACCATCAGTCCCATCAATTTTAGAAGGGTCTTGAACAGACGGAGGCGACTCAGGACTGACCGAATCTGCATCCGTCATTTTCTTAATATTGGAGGGGCCCGGAACACTCAACGGCTGAGGATCTTCACAGACCTGGACTGGCGGACGCATCTGCTCAGGGTCAACATGATCTGCGATGGTCGTTGACTGGATCCTGGATGGTCCTGGAACAGCCAACGACTCGAGACTGTCGCAGACCTGGACTGGCGGACACATCTGCTCAGTGTTAACATGACCTGTGAGGGCCGTTGAGGACTCAGGACGGGCCCGATCTGCATTCGGCACATCTGCTGTTTGCTTGATCCTGGAGGGGCCCGGAACACTCAAGGGCTGAGGATCTTCACAGACCTGGACTGGCGGACGCATCTGCTCAGGGTCAACATGATCTGCGATGGTCGTTGACTGGATCCTGGATGGTCCTGGAACAGCCAACGACTCGAGACTGTCGCAGACCTGGACTGGCGGACACATCTGCTCAGTGTTAACATGACCTGTGAGGGCCGTTGAGGACTCAGGACGGGCCCGATCTGCATTCGGCACATCTGCTGTTTGCTTGATCCTGGAGGGGCCCGGAACACTCAAGGGCTGAGGATCTTCACAGACCTGGACTGGCGGACGCATCTGCTCAGGGTCAACATGATCTGCGATGGTCGTTGACTGGATCCTGGATGGTCCTGGAACAGCCAACGACTCGAGACTGTCGCAGACCTGGACTGGCGGACGCATCTGCTCAGTGTCAACATGACCTGTGAGGGCCGTTGAGGACTCAGGACGGGCCCGATCTGCATTCGGCACATCTGCTGTTTGCTTGATCCTGGAGGGGCCCGGAACACTCAACGGCTGAGGTTCTTCACAGACCTGGCCTGGCAGCAACACCGGCTCAGGGTCTGCATGTGCTGCGACGGTCCTGGAGGGACCTGGAACAGGCAGGTGCTCGAAATAGTCGTTATCTGACTGTGGTTCAAAGGGAACCACTCTGCTCTGGTCACAGCTAAGGAAAGGGCGCTTTGCAGCCTTCCATACTCTCTTAAAGAAAGCAGAGACTTTTTTCCCTTTCCTCCTTTTCTCTGGGTTTTCTGAAGTAAAGGAAATGAACAGGGAAATGTTAGAAAACTCTTTAACCACAAGTTTAAAATAGACAAACTGCTGAAAATTAGACATATAAAAGACAATCACACAAAAGAAACATCAACAATAAATGTACAATTATAATAGAAAATGTTTGAAAACTACAATAACTACGTGGGATTGCGAATCATTTCTATGACGTAAAATGACAAATACAACCTGACAAATAGTCGGTAATTCATCCATTTTAGACATTAGGAAAAATCCTAGAAGCAACTGTTTTACAAAAATAAACATTTCACTCCTGCTCACACGAAATGCAAACTTTTATAATAACTCATTTTTTGATTTTTCAAAGTTCTGAGTTATAGAATATTTTATTATAGTTATAGTTTGAGCTATTAACAATCACCATCACAATGTTTAATCAAATTTATGAAGCCTTTTATTTTTTTGTCAGTGGGTGCCACATCTACATCGATATTTTTCAATCAAGCACCACTTCTCCATCACAAAACAATTATAAAAACAAAATCCATATTTTTGCAGCTTTCCATTAGCAATCGTCAAACTCAAAGTGAACAATTTCTCACGCTCTGGATCTTCAGTTAAGAAATCTGTGAATTGTAAATTATAACTTAAAACATTTAACAATCAGTCTTAGAATTCCAAATGAAAAGAGAAGTCTTGCTCCAGAACTTCAGTTACAGAAACAGAGCTATACACATTTATTATTATGGAGGAAAAGTTGGGTTTATGTTTGTTAATTTAACTGTCTCCATGTTGTTTACCATGCTAATTTGAACATTGGGTGTGAAATAGCATGTAAGTAAGACTTCAAATCAACATTATAACTAATTAATTGACAGTAAACAATGTTGTAGAATGATAGTAATTTGGCTGTTAATATGATTTTCCCATTTAGAATTTGAAACAATATTTCTGTTATTATATTTTTAAGAAGAAAGTCAGAATGTGTGAATATAAAACCAACTTTCCCTCAATTGTATTAATTTATCCCTGCTTAAACCAATAAAAGACTTAAATATAATATTCTCACTCAGTTTGCTCAAATATAACAAATATTCCTCCACACCATCAAAAACTAAGAAAATTACTGCGTAGGTCTACACATAAAGTTTAAATTAAAGTAATATTAGAATGTTTTTTTATCAGTAACGTTAGCGAGGCACAATTTCTGTTGAGTGGAAAGGAGAAACTTTAAAGCCAGAATGTCAATACATAAAATGACAGCAGGCCTCAATCACAAAGTCAGAAAATATACAATATACACGAAACCATTACAATCACGAGAGGTTGAATATTTGCCTCTTAAGTCTGTAAGCTTCGTTATATGGCGATATATTATTATTTTTATAGTTTTTATTAAATAATAGGTGGGAATACACCGTTTTTGTAAACTCTCATCTCACCTGTTGGGCTTCTCGTCGTGGTACAAGGTGTAGGAGAAGCCATCGAGTCACTCTGATGATTATTCTTGACAAAGTCAGTCGTGATCTTTTTAACTCGATGAAAAAACACAGTTGACTTATTATTTTCCATTTGAGACGCAAAACAAGTCGCTAAAGTCATTAAATCACTGTTCACTGTACTCGTTCGTTTGTCACTCTGAGGAATTCTGTCGGCTATGACGTAACGGTATTCTTCTCGTTCTATTTATTCGTCATGAGATTGCTTCTTCCAGACACTTACAACTTCAAGACATTATTTATTACTATGAAGGTAAAACTGATATATCAAAGAACCACATTAATAACTTTTTTATTTTGTATGGAAAATATTTTATTTTATTTTATGTTTTAATTTTTTTTTTTTATTTTTAATTTTTTAATTTTTAATTTTTAATTTTTTTAATTTTTTTTTTAATTTTTTTTCAAACAAAAATTCTCCAATTCCTTCTTTTTCACATTTTTTAATTGAAATTGATGTTTTTATTAGCTAAATCTCTTAGACTAGTTAATAACAAGAAAATTATATATTCTTGGATTATTATGATAAATATTTTTGAAATATCACGGATACACAAGTCCTTGTTTCCTCTTGCTGTATCTGAATTATGTATCTCTGTTTAATTGTTAATTAAAAAAATTGTTTCTCTTTTAATTAAATATATATATATATATATATATATATATATATATATATATATATATATATATATATATATATATATATATATATATGTTTATGTTATTTATCCTGATCTTTTATTATCATTGTTTTTTTTGTGCAAAATTGGATTTTGTATCTTTGTTATTGAATTCAGTAAAAAATAAAAAAATAAATAATACAAATTTGTCATCAGTGAGGTGATATTTTACTAAAGCATATCAACATGTATTAAAGTTGTTTATCACAGTCAATATTAAGTGGACATTAGTGTTTTAAACATAAAAGATTGAATAAGAAATATGAAGGGTTGGGCTAAAATAGTCCATAAATTATCAGTCCACAAGAGAAAGAAAAAAATGTATTAGGATTTATTGGACAAATAACAAACTGGTAGGCACAAATAACCTCACTAGTCAGAAATGGGCCACCTGAATAATAAATAATAATATCTGAATAATAATAACATCTGAATAATAAATCATCTGAATAATAATAATTAGAATAATGTCCTTCTCTTTTTATGCTTCTCTTGTAAATTAGTAAAATTCTTCTTTGACATAAAATATAATCGCTAAAATATTATCATTATCAGTGGATTTTACTTATTATATACAACTCTATTTAAAATGTATTGATTTATGAAGGCTTTTGGTGCTGGACACTTTTTTGTTTCTCGTTTTGTTAAACAATTCACGTCGCGTCATGGTTAAAAAGTAGTACCAAAATGAAAAGTCAAATCCGGTCCACTTAAACCTGAACGACTTTACGACGTTGTAGTCACCTGTAAACCACAATTAATACATTATTTGAGGATGCAATAGTGTTACAATTAAGCAAACTATTTATTGTGCATATAGTAACAGATTTACATCACTGTTAAACAGACACATCTAATAAGAATAAATAAAAAAAACCAACAACACAGAAATATGGACAACACAAGTGAAATTTTATTTTAGAGTCTTTATTTCTATCCTCCAGCTCTTCCTGGAAGGTGCTCGCTGTGTTCCTCCATTGCTGCATCTTTTTCTGTGCCTGTAGCATCTGGACTCCATCACTTCACAGCATCTGAGGGGAAAAATATGAATTTGTATGATCCTAACAACTAAAAACTTACAACAGACCAAGTTCTTTTGTCATGTTTCATGAATGCACAGTAATGTGCAGAGCAGGGCAGTGGACAGGGGGGTGGCCTGGTGGCTAGAGCCACTGCCCCTCTGCCCTCATTGGCTGAGGTGCCCCTTTCAGCCTGTAAATAAATAACATGTTTCTGTTGTTGGATCACTTTGTTGACAAAAAAATTCTCAAAAAACAATGCCTTTACAAAAAAGACAGAGACAGAAAGAGAAAGAACGAAGGAAGGCTGATAAAGGTAGTTCAGCACTGAAAACATGGATTCAAAGCTCCAGCAGGTAAATCATCATACAGTATAAAACATTTAGCTGTGTTTATCTAATTAAGTAGGCCTATGTTTTCCATTATAATCACTATAATCCAGGCTACAGCAAATCATTTTATTAAAACCATGTCAATAGTAGGCCTATAAATAGTAAAAAAAAAAAAAAAAAAAAGAAGCAATATTAATATTCTAAAAGTTAATATAAATTTATGGTGTATACTATTAAATTAAACGTGTAATATTTATTTTTCCATTGAAGATGAGGCAGAAGCTGGTTCAAAAAGTGAGGGAGAGACCACTGAGTATGAGCTAAATCAGACAGGTACAGGTAAGACTTTTAATCTGGAAGGGATATGCTAGAGTGTCATATAAGACAGATGGACATTTAAATAATTTAAATATTGTAAATGCTTTGTTATTCATTCTAAGATGAAACTGCCTCAGAGTCAACTCAGCAAAGTAAAGGTGATGGAGACAGAAAATGTTCAGATTGTCCATCCAACAGTAAATAGTTTCTGTTATTATCCGCAATGTGTAAATGTGAATCACATACATGTAAGATGAGCTTATCAAGATCTTTCAGGACAAAAAAAGTTTTGTTGTTAAAGGTACAGGTAAATATAAAAATGTAAAATGGTAAATAGTTCTGAAATTATTACAGTGTACTGTTTTTTCTTTTAATTGTACTTTTACAACAACTAGAATATTTGTATAAGCAAGAACCCACCCACTTAGTGCCCCTTTTTTTGGTTTAGGCCCCTGCCCCTCAAAATGTCTATGCACGGCCCTGACCTTGGTGAGCAGACTTCTTTCCAAAACATTAACAACATTACTAACCCGAAACATGTGTGTATGAATTCTAAAATGCATACAATGAATAATAATTCGTCACATAAATCAAACAAATAACATGATAAAAATTTCATGGTATGACATGACTGTTTGAACCATAATGAGGCTAAAATAACTGTAAAATACGAGAAAACGTAAGTATTTTACGTTTTACGAATTCGTACGAGTTCAGTCGTACGAAATGGTACGATTTTAAAAAGGAGGCGTGGCACCTGACCCCACCCCTAACCCCAACCGTCATTGGGGGATAAGCAAATCGTACTAAATTGTACGAATTAGATCGTACGAATTCATACGAATTAGCCACTAAATGAAAAAGTTACGAATTGCCGTGAGATTGTGTTGAAAATACAGCATCCCAATGAATCACCCATTCAAAAATAGCTGAAGCTGTGAAGTGTTTTCACAAAGGAATGGGTTGAAGGCAGTAGGGATGGCTCCAGAAGATAAAACAGATAAGTGAAAAATGCAATTGCAGATTTATCTCATTGAGAACGTGCTTGGATCCCTGTCATGAGCCACTGCACAGGCACTCACACATTCATACGAGCCGCAGAGAAAGACAATCTGCTGTCATCATTACACGCCACTGACTTTCCTGCAAGCTCTGGATGTGAATCACGACTCAAATGCTGTCTAAAACAACAGTGCAGTGTCTTTATCGTTTCCTCGTCTGCATCTGCATCTATATCTGTGACCCCTTGAAAATGCTTTTAAACACAATACTTTGATACTGTGAAAGTGCAACTGAATAATGAAATCAGAGCCTGGATGAATATGTTGTGCATTGCACTGTAATGGACTGACCATATTTTCAAATGCTGACGTGTTCTTCTTGGCGACCTTCAGCAGTTACATAATAATTCCATATAGCATAACCTTAGACATTTTTATTGGCAGGAAAAAAGGTTTCAGAGTAAATTATTTAACTGTAGTTTGAGTATTCTGACATTCAAAGGCAAACTATATAATGGGTGATGATAAAGTTTTACACTGAGTTTTAGATATTTTCTTTTAATTTGAACATAGCTTAGCCAAACACATAAGTCATAGAACTATTCATAGTTATTATTTACTCTGCAGATTTAGCACAGTACCTGCATATGAAGTGGCTTTTCATTTATTTCAGTCACATAATTTTTTAAGTGGGAGTGGTACCTTTAACAGGCTACCTTTAACAGAGGCTAAACGATTTAATTCAGATTTTTCATTATAATAGTTATATTACTATTGTAATGTGATGGGAAGCTGACAACAGAGTTCGTACCCAAACACAGAATTATTAAGAAGAATGGTCAGGCAAGCAACAGTCATCACATGGGCAAACAGGAATGAACAATAAAATAAGGCAAAGGTCTAACACGGCAAGACAAGGCAAGGAAAATGTGTCATAATGTTCACAACTAAACCCAGTAGCTCCCAGTTCATGAGCAGCTCCCAGTCATGAGAGTGAGTAATCATCCGATTGAGGAACAAATGTGTGTGAGGAGTGCATGACTGGATATGTTGTTCATGTAATGTTGAATTTAGTGCATTAGCAATCTGCACAAGCTGGATCGCTGGTGACCATGACAACTATATTACTATATTTAATTACAACAATCAACACATATAAATGTATACACAAACATATAAATTACACAAATAGCAGTTTTTGTTGTTGTTGTTTTTATTAAGATCGAAATTGATTTATAAAATTGTGTTATTTGATTAAATAAAAAGACAATTATTTTTACTTCAATTTGATATTGCAATATAATAAGTGTCTTTTTAAACTCTGGTTTTCATTAGAGAATAATATTTTAATATATATACATTAAATAATTAAGACATGACAAACAGTAAATTAAATGTGCAAATATTTAAAAAAATGTGCTTTTCAAGAGTTCATTTCTCTAGTGTACTAATCATAGCTGTCAACCCTCCAGTTTTTGCTGGGATTCTTCCGTATTGTACTATTCTATTCTGCTATCATCCCATTTATGTATTTACCCTGTATTTCTCCGGTATTTTCAATATTTCTATAAAAAGTTAAAGTAGCATCAAAGAGATGATCTCAAATGTGATAAAATTGCAAGAGCTGCTCAAGAGAATTATGATTTCGCTTTATATTATTTTGAAAGCATATGTAAATTAATATTAAAACGGTCCCATTCACTCCCTTTTCAATAAAGCTATGTGTTTCGCAACCTCTGAATCAGTCATGTAAATTAGCCTTAACGTTGCTGACTGATGGACGCGATCCATGTAAAGACACTGTTCCCAGATCAGCTTCTGTACACGCCATTTGAAGAGAAGCGAAAAGGGACACTTGGATTAGGATGTGTTTAATCAGACAATTCCCTTAATAATATGTAAAAATAATTTTAAACACAAACAATTTAGTCTTAAATGAGCATAAACAGTAACAAAATGTGTCG